TTTTTTTCTTTCTCTGAGAATTTGGGGGAATGGAGATGAGGAGTGGTCAGTGCAGAACAGCCTTGAAATAGTTTTCTTACCAGTGTTTCATATCTTTATGCAGCTAGATGGAAATAAAACGATCACGGAGAGATGCAAAATGTGTTGGGGTTTTTTTTAAATTTTGTGTCTCTTTTAATCAGTCTATGTCACTAATATCAAAATAGACCAACATATGCAGTGTGTGTGCTCTCTTACTGTCATAAGTTGCCTGCATGTTTGTAAAACCAGTTATTTTTCCTTTCGTTGTGATGGAAAATGTGTGTAGACACCTGACGTAGGAAGTCTTTTTTTGTCCGCGAGTAAAACACATGGAAGCATAAGGTAATGGTACTTTTCAAAAAATGTTCATTGTGAAACATTAACTGACATCAGGTCAGTTAAACAGTTGTTTTTTATATTTATTTTATTGATTAAAACTTAAACATAATTAACGAGAAAAAATGACCCCACAGTCCTAAAGGACAGTCCTTCGTCTACTGACTGGTCACATAAATGAAAAGGGTGAGATTGTGTTTATATAAATTTAAAGACACAATCATTGTTTTGTTTCTTATCAACTTAGTTTCAGTTACTAATTTCCTACCTTGCCCGTTCAACCCCCAAAAAATACAGCTGCAGTACATTGTGGTCTTAAATTTTCCATTTATGACCCATCATCAATATGCTGCAACAAAACGCTTATGAATGAAGAAGCAGTTGGTCAGGTGTGTAAAACTAATACAATTCTCTCTTCTCTTTCACTGCTAGTTCTCCCACAGATGTGACTTACTTGATCCCAGCTGACCAAACCAACCCAAATACCAACTTTCTTATTTTTGCTATTAGCTCAACCTTTAAGTTAATTTCTTTACTCAATTTTTTTTTGTTTTTACCTTTAAAAAAACAAAATCCAAATTCTAAGCTCAAACAAAGTCCAACTGAAGAATTAAAAGTCAAACGGAAAAGTTAACTCCCTCCAAAATAACATAAATGTACAACTTTTCATCTAACTTTTTTACATTTGTCTCTTTATCACATCATTTAGATTAAAAATGTAACTTGGAAATGTTTAGCCTATTATTCTTTTTTAACAGGTTATCTTTTATTCTTCATCTCATTTCAAGGTTGGGTGAGTGAGGCCTGCGGTTCAGAGTAGAGCCACCGCTCCTCCACATCAAAATGAGCCACTTGAGGTCATTTATGGACCTGACTAGGTGAGCTGTTTATGGTACGTCCGACCAGGAGGATACCCCAGGACACACGACACGCTGAAGAGAGCAAATCTCTCAGCTAATTAGGGAGCGCCGAAGTATTCCATCGTAGGAGCTGGCAGATGGTTGGGAAGAAAGTGAGCTTGTCATCTCTCCTTAGACTTCTGCACCTGTGACCTGACCTAATATCTATCTTAAATTTTAAATCCAGAGTACAAAATTAAAAAAACTAAATTATGATTTAAAAGTCTATTTCACATGTTGTATGAAATATCACACAGAAAATGTTAAAAATTCAGGGTTGTTGTTTCTTTTTAAGTTTGTTTGCCTGATGATTTTGAATTTGATATTTTTATTAAAGAGATAAAATCTGATTAAAAACATATTTTAAGAAAAAAATGATGAAATAATGATTCTCTACATTTCGAATGGTTATATTTTTCTCTTTTATAATTTCTTTTAATTTTTTACTTGAATTATTTGAGTCAAGTAAATTTATTATTTTA